GGGGGGGGGGGGGGGTGGGTAGGAACAGGAAGGTCCCACCTGAAAGCCCCCACTGCGACCTGTCACGTCATCGAGGCAATGTGCTTGGGCGCCTCCTAGGGGTGGAGCATTTCGTGCCGCCGGCAGGCGATATCCTGACTCCGCCCCTCTGCATCTTTATAAGCGTGTGAGGATGTTTCCTAAGGGAAGCCCAGGCACAAACGGCTCTGGTGGGATGAGCTGAGCGACCGAGGAGCTCAGTGGCATTCCGATCCTGCCCACCAAACGCTCTATGTAGAAACATGCAAGCATGCATCTGCAAAGCTTCCTGTGTGAGAAACACTCATAAAGAAAAATGGCTGGGGGGGGGCAGCCTGACTAGCAACAGAACAACACAGTGGCTATATTCCACAAATTACTAGGGACAGGTACTGGTCCAATCCCCACCCTCTCAGCAAATGGGCAGTGGGTGGCTGCTCTCTGTCACTATCCCTAACTTTCGATCAGCCTCTCAGCTCTACCCGTGCACAGCAGCCATGTCACGGCATCTTGCTCTCCACAGACCCAGCACCCCACTCCACAATTAGGGGGTGAGGGCGAGGTCCCCCTCCAAGATCCCCCCCCAGGCCCCCGAGCTCATGTGCTCGCACTCTCGCACCCTAATGACCCTAATGGAAGGCATATGGGTCTGCCTACCGCTGGTGTGACGCCGCATACAAATGGCTCGCGGGCCAGAACAGCGGGACCTCTGCAGATTACGGGCCGGGAGCCTTGACTGGAGGCCTTGCTGAAGGTCTGGAGTCTAATAGTAGCAGGTGACACGCTTAGTGTCGCTTTAGCGGTTTTTTAACATGGCGGCCATTAAGACGGTTATTAACTGGCGGCATCAAAGCACAGAAGGCGGCTACTACGCGCGCTGAGTAGGAAAACGGAGCGGTCCATGTTCCTGGGGGCCGGGGGGGGGGCCACGAGGGGTCGGAGAATGGGCCACTTTCGGCATGAGGACCACAGAGCGGACGCCTTCCCTGATGCAAGAGGCGTGAGAAGCCTGGAGCGTGAAGGATCGTACCAAGCAGGCCGAAACCCGGGGCTACCATGAGTAAGCCGGCTATTAGCAAGTCATCTGCAGAAAAACGGAGAAGATGACATGTTTTAGAAAACTGTTCACATCAACAGCGAACAGTGAGAGAGACTGGACATATACGCAGCTAGTGCCTGTGATTTGAGAAGACGTTCGGGAAGTTTGGGTAGCTTGATCTGATTGGGTCTTGGGTGATAGCAGGCCTCCCCCTGTGGGCCTACCAGAGGCAGGGCGTCCCGGAAACACCCGCAACACTCAGTTTGTGTCACAAGTAACAGGGCACCAGGAAGCCTAGTGGTCAGGAATTTTGATGATGTTCCAGAAAAAGCCAGATTGTGGTAACCAATAACCTCACCTAGAAAACAAAATTAACATTAACTAACAATAATTAAAATAACTATTTAAAATGTATTTATGCCTGGGGCAAAACTGGCTGCATGCAGTGTAGCTTGGTGATTACTGGGCTTCTTCATGTCAGAAAGTGAATTAGTCATGACACGAACCCAACTGACGTCCCAACGGAAACTTTAGCTGCATCCCTGGACCGACATGTGGCTCTCCGGCTCCCTCGGGGAATGACATCCCAGGGCGGCTGCAGATTGGCTGGCTGCTGGGGGTAGCGCAGGAGGGGGAGGGGGACGCTCTGCGGACACAAGTGCTGGTTCGGCAGGACACCTCTTTAGTCACTGAGCTGTGGCGGAAGGCGCAAGGGATCGAATCTTTGGGCTGGTTTGGAGCCACAGCGTCATTTTATATCAACCAAGAAAAGCCACTTGTAACACTCTCTTGCCACCTCTATCCAGCAGGCTTAGAGGTCCCCCCCCCCTCCCCCAGACAAAATGCCGTCAGTTACACCCACACATCCCTAAATCCCAGGAGCTGAGTTGGAGGGAAAGACGGAGTAAAAAAAAAAGGAGATACGGACAATAAATATGGAATGAAGAGTGCGAGACTGAGAGAGAGGGTCTGCGAGATGATTCAATATCGTGATGAACTAAAACAGCGTTTTTCCTGGTCTGATTTTCTTGCCATATTTCCCCATCCCCCTGCCCCCCCCGCCCCCCCCCGTGTGGGTTTCTGTAAGAGATCCATCTGATTAATAAATGCTCAACTGAACTAAAACTACACACCACTGCCTACAGACCCCCACTCACCCGGCCCGCTCAGCTCCACTGGAACAGGGACCGTGTGCCGCATACAACCAGCCTCTATATGGCACCAGAAAACAGACATGTCTGGTTCTGAATGGGCACCACATGGATAAAACTATGAACACAGATTGTACGGTTAAAGAGAACAGCACTGGCATCCCATCGAGGGTATTCCCTAGATTGGCTCCCCGAGCAGGATGAGTGGTTCGATTAGCGTTACTCAGCCTGGTCCTCGGGGACCCCAAGACAGTTCACATTCTGAAAGCTGGGAGGGAGCAAAAATGTAGACTGTCTGGGAAGGAGCAAAAACATGCACCCTCTGACAGTCGCTGAGAACCAGGTTAGCTGAGAAACACTGGGTTAGATGATGGACAAAATGAGGTGGATTAACATCAGTCCTTGTGTCCTCTGTAGATTCACTTTCACTTCATATATTTCTGAAGACCATCATACTCTGGCAAGCAGCTGGTGTGGAAGCCACCTTGTTACACATCCCTATCCTGGGGGGTTGATACACTGACCCTGTAACTCAGCTCCGGATAACGTCTCGTCTTCACCACCATTTGGCTGTAAAAGGGCGTTTTACAGATAATTTTTGCTTTAGGGTAGCAGGAGCTTCTGCTCAGTTTCATCAGAAATGGGCGGTTTTCTCTGCTGGCAAAATTCTTCAGGATAACAGAGAGTGAGGACATCAAAGTCCCAACCAGGTAGCACAATAAAAAGAAAAACATTCAAAGAGCAAAAGCCCACAATGAAAACAGAACTTCCGCTAGAAGTCTGAACAATGCAAAAAGAGAAATATTTCCAGATCTGACGGAGCGCATGCATCAAAGCACACGCATATCAAAGACATCATTAATTCCAATGAGCAGCCAGTGAGCGCGACTCGCAGCGGCTTGCGCGCATCCCGGCACCCGCGCCACGGCGAGGATCCGAACTGCGACACCGCAGTCAAAACATCTATAAATACTGCATGTCTTCCATGAGGGGCTGATTAGGGCGTCCCGAAATGTGCAAAGCAGATATAACGCTGCCTGAATGTTAACGACAGCCAAGCCGGCTTCATCAGCTGAAAACCTGAAGAGAATTCCCTGTGGGGTGGGAGGGGGTGTGACTTTACGCGTGAAGCCCCCCCCCTCCGCCACCCCTTCTGATGGTATATGGAGAGGAGAGCCCCACTGTCCTCATTCTCTAACACAGCAGTAAGCCTGTGGTGCATTGCCAAGAGAGAGGGGGGAGAGGCAGGCTGAGAGCAGAGGAAGAAAGAGGGATCACTCAACTATTTTTGAAAGGATGCACCACTTACATAAGCATGGTGGGGTGGAGAGGCTCCTCCACTCGCCTCCGGCACTCCCCCCCCCCCCCAAAATGTGGCTCATTTGGAGATCCCAGAGAAGGCTGCAATCTGCCATGGCTGACATAATGAGTTAATTAAAGGTAAAAAGCAAAGTACTGGGGGAATGGCGAACAAACAGGTCCTGCTCTGCCGGGTTCAGGGTTTGCCATCCAATCGTGAGGCCTGGCGCAGGTCACATGGGGCACTGGCTGACCTCAGGAGGGTCAATGGTGACCCCGCCTACTTGAGGAGGAAGGATCCCGCTCTGTGTGCGCCGAGCTCGTGATGGTTACAAAATAGCAGAGCGGCAGGGCTAGATCAGGACAGGCTGTAAACACACTCTCTGACAACCCACAGAGCCGCTCAGCATTGCCACAACATCGTCACGACAGGTCAATTTCAGTGAGCTATAACCACAACACGGTAAAGAAAAAAAATAAATAAATAAATTTAAAAAAACGTGACCGCTGCATATTGCAAAACTAAAAATATACAACGGAAAATCTTTTCAGTCCAAGAGTCTCAGCACTGAGTGCACGCCCACGTGAGCACAGACACGCAGGCACGGCGGGGGTGGGGGGGGCGGTCCTCTGCGCGGCTTGGGGCTCTCCCAGATACCATGTGCTGCAGCTCCACGTGCCCCTGGACTCCACGGACCCCGCTGTGAGAGAGGGAGATCAGTCAGTCAGACACACCAAGCTGCAAGGGACACTCAGGTACCAGAAAGCTGGGGGTCCTATAAAAGCACAGAGGGGAGACGCAGACCTCAGCCCAGGTCAGACTTACAGACGTGCTCGACGTGGTGCCATATCTGAACTGCTCCCCATCCTAAAGTCCATCACCTTCTAAAACATCCCAGACAAGCACTGCATCCCCCCCCCCAAAAAAAAAAACAGCACAATGCCATCATTGCACATCGTATTGCTAGATGAATCAATAGTGTAAACTTTTCTCTACCATGTACAATAGATTACATAAAAGCTGTGTAATCCTGTGTATACAAAAGAGAGTCCAATCATTAAGAGGAAGCAGCGCACTGTGAGCTGGTAATGCGGCGTTTATGGAGAGTCACACGAGACCCGGCTCGCATTCCGCGCTCCGCTCGAGGTCCATTTATCTGTTTAGCCGGGTCATTTATTTAAAGTTAACAAAGGAAGGATGGACTGCGCCTCGACTGGTGGGAGACAGCAACCAGAAAGGAAGCGGATATGGGCAATGAGACCACAGTCACAGACCCCGGCTCAGATAATGGCGGTGAATGAGTGCTTTATGCATCGAGAAAAAGGCCGTTTTACTGTTTCGGCTTAATTACGTCACAGGGGAGCCGGTAACATGACTATCGTTAGCAGTGCAGGCATGAACGTGTCCACCAATTCATATGAAGCCCCAATGCTTAATTATACTAGAGGATCTCATTCAACACGACCACCCGGGACTCAAAGTTAACGTTAGCATTAATACTAAGGTGTGGTCAGAGCCAGCAGGAATAGCTGTTCCTACCTGCCCACAGACCACCGCTCAACACTGAGAGGTCATCTCCCCAAAAAGCTGAAGGAACGTAATTAATTTTCGTGGGTGGCATTCAGAAAGGTGGCTGCGGAACATGGCTAATTTTGGGTGTGCGACACTGCGGGGCGAATGTAATGTAGCGAGGCGGCCCCTGGAGGGGGGGGGGGGGGGTCTGGGGGGGGGGGGGGGGGGGGGGTGCGGATGGTCTATAACGAGAGTGTCGGACCAGCAGAGCAGGGGGATCGTTAGGACCTGTCAGGGCTTCAAACAAATAAGCAGCGGCTTTGAGTGACTTTAAGAAGCGGATTATGGGATTAAAGTGTCCTGTTGCTTCTCCTTCAGGCCAGGCAGCGGCCTGGTGGCCGACGGGCCAGCAGACACGCGGGCAGGACGGTGCGCACGTTTCTCACACACACACACACACACACACACACATAGGCACCGTCTGGCAGAAACGGGAAAGCGATTGATGCAGTGTGTGACTCACGGTGCCAAAGGCCATCCCTGGCTCTGTATAATGAGGTCTGTCATTGGGACGGAGTCAGACTTTAAGGACAGGCTTGGAATGTGACAGCTCCCATGACCGGACACCCCCTGCCCCCCCCCCTCACCAGGGCAGAGCCCCGTTTGGTCACCCCACAGATGTACTGGAGATGGTAAACACTACTAGGAGTGCTGAAGACAGATCTCACACAGGGGAAAGCCCTGTCGCCTCTCCTACCGCTCTGTGTGACGCCCCCACTGGCATCCTCATGCCAACCAGGGGCAGCACAGAGACGCCAGTGGCGGACAGTGATTGGCCGTCGTTGTGGCCCATGTTCACTGAAGCAGCGAGGAGCTTACAGCTGTGCTTGGCCATGGCCGACGTGTCATAACGACACATGTGCACACGCCGTTTCCCTCGAGAGTTGGGGGGTGGGGGCTCATTCCCCTTATCGGGGTTTATCTCAGAGGCCATTTCTGGCGGAGAATCAATGTATCTGCCACATGAAATGGAAGCAAGATGCCGCCATCATCTGCCTGAAGGGCCTCGCTGGAGGCTCAGATCTGCTGGGCCAGTGCCAGGGCCTCACTGGAGGCTCAGATCTGCTGGGCCAGTGCCAGGGCCTCGCTGGAGGCTCAGATCTGCTGGGCCAGTGCCAGGGCCTCACTGGAGGCTCAGATCTGCTGGGCCAGTGCCAGGGAAGAAAACAGCAGAAAGCAGAGAGTGACAGAACAGGTGGCACGCGAGGGAGGGGAGGGAGGGGGGCCCCTGATGGAAAAAACGGTGGGAAACCCCCTACCAGCGCTTTCCGAGCCCCGCCTCCAGACCCTCACTCCCGCAGAGGGGGGGGGTATTCACTGCAGCATGACGCCCTCGGCAAAAAGCTCTCTCACTGCTCTGTCCCTCCCTCCCTCCCCCCCTCCCCAGCCGCCCATCCTCTCGCCTGCTTGTCATTCGCTCCACGTCGGCTTCTGACTCGCTGCTTGTGGAAGCCCGGGCTTCGCAGAGCGTGCCGGTGTCCCGCTTCCAAGCAGAAGGCTTTTTCTCCAAAGCGGCTTTCTGAGACTCGCTACGTCGAGAAACAATCTGCTTATACAGCCGGGCGTTTCCCCGTACACCGCTCAAGGTGCCCCGGCTTTTAACATTTCACCTCCTGATGAAAAGTCCCAGCCAGTGCGACAGAAACACCTCGAGCTGCAAAGCCATCAGACCAGGAGATTAAGGAAGATTTCCGGCTTCCTCCTTTAGGCTGGTTTATTCTTCCTGTTGAGTAACACTCTAAGTGGTTCCTTCCTAAGCCTTGCCTTGGGGGCGGAGTTAAACAGGTCCAGCAGAAGTCAGAGCAACCCCAGGTAGAACAGACAGCTAGGGGCATGAAAACAGGAGTGCGGAGGAGCTGAGGTACCCTCTTAGCCGAGGTGGGCGGGGCAGTGGCGCTCTCATTTCCCATTGCTGGGGGGACAAGGAGAACTAAAAAACGAAAACTGCTACCTGTTTTCCTGAATGAGGTCTCGGCTGGTGCCCACGGAGGGTTGGCGCTGGCCGCCTGTGGGCAGGTGCACAGGCATCGGCTGGGGGGGGGGGCAGCATCCTCTCTGTTGGAGCGGGGGTGGCTGGGAGGCTAGCTAGAGCCACTCTCCATGTCAGCATTCACATGTGCAGAACGCTGGCAGCACCGCGGGGCCGGGTGGGCGTTCAGGACAGGCCGGGGTCTCTGGCCCCCATGCGTTTTTGCTGCCCCTCTCTCCCTTTGCCCCATCAGGAGTGCAGCTGCTCCTGCCCCATCTACTCTCACTACCTTCCTGTGTGATGATCTCCTGTCCAGTACAAAATCAGATAAAACCCACATCTCTGCTGCTCTGGCTACTACATTTCATTGTTATGCAGCATATCCTTCACTCCTCTAGGCAAACAAAATATTACCAGGAACTTGCAACCCACAGAGGCGCAGTGTTTGTGTCCAAGCGAAGGACCTGCTGCCACAGATCATCTGATAACAGACTTATAGCCCTAATATATTCAGGCAGGGGAAACAAAACAAAACAAAACACAGCTGAAACAAGAGGAAGCCGAATCACACCAAAACAAAACAAAACAAAGCTTTTAATGAGGTTGCAACTCGTAGACGGCAAACCAACCACTGGTTTATGACTGGACCACATAACAATTCTCCAAGATGAGTGATTGATCAAGTCAGTAGACTAGTTAACATTTTGTGAAGATCAAATGTGGCCAAAGACATGTTCGATCTTCATGAGAGGGATGTACACACACGGCATAATTAATTCCTGGCTGAGAAATAATCGGTGGTTAGTCATTGCAAACTGAAGTGGAAAGATATCTTCCTGAAACGTACTGGTGACTCAAGGTAGCTAGGAGAGCAAGTCTAACTCCAGCACTCCACACTGAACCAGAAAACAGCATATAAATGCAGGGCTGGCAAAATACGGCCACTCATCCACCTTCCCATCTCTTATCTAGTGATTATCCAGCCCAAGATCACGTAGAGCCTGGAGCTCATCCCAGGCAGCATAGGACACAAGGAAGGAGGACACCCTGTTTGCAATGCTAGGGGTAAAATACATAATTAGGGGGAAAATTCTACTGGGGACAGTTCTAAACGTTGAAATCTAAACTTTTTTTTTAATGTATTGACTCATCCATCATTTATAGTCACCAAACAGACCTCCCAAGCTATTTTTCAGGTTAGGGTTTAAGGGCGATTCAGCATTAGTATACGGTCCTGCATAGGACAGCTCTGTATTGATGTAGCGCATTCCAGTAGGATGCTGAGTGGACGAGCCTTACTTCACAGAGCCGTGGGACAAGCAGTAACTCCGTGTCCCCCCACCCCATGCTCCTACTGGCCTGTCATTCCAGTGACTTCATAACAGTATCCCGGCTGTTCCCCGTCGCACTCAATCTTCTCCTTTCGTTCTAAAGCTCTTTATGTTAAATTATAATAATCTTCTGTTTCTGAAATGGAAACATACAGAGAATCACGGATTGACTTGCTATGCTTAATTCTCAGGCCAGGCGGATGTTCTCTAAATCTAGGGACAGAGTAAAGGTTTACAGATGGCTGTGGCACGTTGTATAACCACAGTCGTTAGACTAATCATGCCCTTGACCATGAGATGGAAACACGCTTTGTATTTCCTCTCAAAACACAATGCCACACCACCTGGAACAAATGCGTCGCGTGTGTCAACTTCCCATTAGGCAAGGTGCGACAATCGGACAGCAGGGGCATCGATTTTGCTCTCCAAAATTGAGAAATTTCATGCAGAGCATCGACCTGGTCATGTCCCACTGTGACGTACGAAGACAGCAAGACGGCTCCGGAGGCGAGTCTACCGGCTGGTGGCGTGACCGTGGATCGATGGACCGGCAGAGCCCCCACCACTTTGTGCAGATGCACTACTGCAGTAGCAGGAAATCCGGTGTCTGCCGGCTTGACTCAGAAGTAACTTCAGGCCCCAGATTCTGATGGCAGACTGGTGAGAGCTTCTTAATCACGAGGATATTGGCTGACGACCTCCGAGGTGCCACTCTGAGCTGCCGTACCTTCACGGCCTTTCCCAATGACCAATGTCCATCGTGCGCCTACCGCTTCACACACAGGGGTCTGAGGCTGCTCTCAACACCGATTTTCATAAGCGGGAAGG